ATTAATTTATATTTTACAAGATTAAATTTAATTAAAATTGAATTTAAATTTAAATTTAATTTAATTTATATTATATTTTATATATTTTTTGTAATTCTATTTAAATTATTTTAATAATTTATTAAAATATATATTTTTTAAAATATTTGCGGGTATCTGCGAATTTTAAAATATCCGCGGATATTTTTTAAACGGATATCCGTGCGGGTATCGTATTGGGTAACTTATGGATTTTTTTTGTCGAGTCAGATTATGGGTAGACACTATCCGTGTCCTATCCGATCTTTGCCATCCCTAAGTGCGGCACAGAAGAAGAAGATTAAAGAAGAAGAGAGATTAGGATTTTGCAAAAGGTAAAAATGTAAAAAAACAAAATGGAGAGGAGGTGGTGGAGGTGTAAGGAGAAACCTCTTGTTTTTAGTAGGAGGCCCAAATATTTATTAAACAGCAAGATACTGACACGTAAGACGCACACGTGTTTAATTGAAAGAAAGAAAAAGAAAATCTCAGTATGAATCTACTGGCAAGGTTTCCGCTGCCTCCGGTGATTATAAATCGGCAAAACAGAATTCCCGTTCCGAGAGCTAAGTCCATCGAGTCATCGTCGCTCATGGATCAGCCCAAGAAGGTCATTGTCTGCGGCGGCGGAGTCATAGGTGTTTGCACTGCTTACTTTCTAGCTGAGAAGGGAGCCGCCGTCACGCTCATCGAGATGTCCGACGTGGCATGCGCCGCTTCTGGAAAAGCCGGCGGATTCCTCGCCTACGACTGGTGCGACGGAGGACCGTTGGAGGAGCTAGCCCACGTGAGCTTCAATCTCCACCGTTCACTCTCGGAAAAACTTGACGGTCCTCGATCTTACGGTTACAGAGCCCTAACTACTCTGAGCCTCACCGTAAAGGAATCCGAGCGCGCTTCTGCTTCGAGGTTCCTGCCCTCTTGGATCGACGGGCCAGCTCGTAGTCCCAAAACGATTGGAAACCCCGAAACGACGGCGCAGGTGCACCCGCAGCTTTTCACCCGCACGGTCATCGATAGAGCCGTGGAGATGTATGGGGTGAAGGTGGAGATTGCGAAATTGGAACGGGTGGAGGTGGAAGAAGGACGTGTTGGATCAGTTGTGCTGGAAGGAGGACGAGAGTTGGAAGCGGACGCTGTAGTGTTGGCAGTGGGCCCGTGGTCCAGTAAGTTAGGTTTGATATCATCGTTGTTTAGAGTTTATGGGCTTAAGGCCCATAGCATTGTTTTGGAGCCCAGAGACGGCAGTTCCATAACCCCCCATGCTCTCTTTCTGAGTTATCATTCCTCCTCCGGAGGAGGAGCTCTTGACCCTGAAGTCTACCCTCGCCCAACAGGTAAATGCGAATATATATATATATATAT